GAAGGTTTCGTTAACATCAAGCCCCCGTTTCGAAAGGGACTCTGCGGTGGCGAGCATACTGTTGAGAGCATGTTGCGGATTCTCTGCCATCGGGACCTTCTTGGATGTCAGGGGTTGTAACTCATCCGCAGGCTGCATGGACGATTCTGGGTCGTACAACCCCTTCAGCTCACGGAGCGCCCCCAGGGGCGACTCAGCTCGCTTCATTATTGTCCTGTCTTTCTCGTCCTTGAGAGCTCCACGGAGGAAATTCCACGCGTGGAAAGCGAGCTCTACTTTGTCGTGCGGGTAAAACCTGGACAGTTGGACTTTGCTCTGCCCACTGTTTACGGGGATCTCCGCCCCCCCCTCCTCGATCAGCTCAAGAAGGTTTGCTGTGTTCGCTGCCATCAAAAAACCCTCTCGCCACGAAGAAAAGCTCTTGGCGTCTCCGCTGAACGTGGGCGCTGTGCACTTCACGCTTTGGTATCCCACGCTCGCACTACCGAAGACAGCAGCACCACTTCCCATGGCGCTGCTGAAACAAGCTTGATTGTGAGCAGCGGCTACTCTCACCTCTTGGGGGTCTGAACCCCCTACTTCGCCGCTGTGTCGTCCCGAAGGACCAGACTCTCTTCGCAGGTCCGCTGCCTGCGCGCTCCCGTCGTACTGCACGGTCCCAAAATGACCTGCAGTGCTTGTGGCGACGCTCTCCACGGCGCCGCCGCTTTCAGCGGCGCCCTCCGTGGCACCGCCGGACTTCTCCTCTATACGTGCAGCAAGTCCTCCGACCAGCTGCACCAGCTGGCCCATTTGCTGTGTCAGCGAACTGATCTCTGACCGCATGCTGTCGATCTGCTCGCTGCTATTTGTGTCTCCTGCCTGCGAGCCGTCCGGAGTGGTCCCTCCGGTTCTGCGGCCCGCCATCCCTAATGGACTCCCTCGAGGGAATAAACACTAGTGTGTTGGTATGTCCGTACTTGGGAGGAGAAGACACGCTTTAACTCTCTCTGATTAGGCACCCGCGGGAGCGAGGAAAGGAAGGGAAGAAGTGGCCCTCCCGAATTCGGGGAAGGGGGCCCACACATAGTCGCCTGCTTCAGGCATACGCATGCTCCTGTCTACGTACCCCCCCGTGCTGCTAGCAGATCTACCATGCTCGTATCCAGACACACGAACAGGCGGTTGGTTTGGGGTCGAGGAGAGCCGCGCGATGTTTGCAAGCGCGATGAGCGTGTACGTACAAGATGGAAGACATCACTTGGCTGTGTCTCGTCTTCGCGGTTTGTCGGTGGGCGTAGGGGACTTCGCCGCTCGGGTCACGCAGAAAGCAAAGACGAGACCTATATTTTCTGTTGAGCAGCTTGCATGCAATTACATTAGTATCCTCTTTACTCCACGATTCCGTCAGAAGAACCTGCCATCTTCCATGCGCCACCGTACACACGCCCATGCCCCGGTGGTGGGTGTTGAGGGCGGGGGCCCCGTGATTTGAGGACGAAGTACCCGGGTATACCCGTTTCTGCCTTCCTAGTTGCAGCAAAAATCATGATTAGGGGCCTTCACACATCGCCTCCGTGACGTGGTACCCTCAAGCACACACACGCGGCGGCTGTGCCCATACCTTGGTGTAGGCGGTTCTCCCCTGGCTAGGGTTGCGCTCCACGCAAAACGTACAGGCGACGTTCTCGTCCGCCGCGGTCGGCGTGGTGATGCTCCAAGAAGTAACCAAAACCGCCACGGACAACAAGACGGAAAAAGAAACGAAACACTGTAAAAGCCTTACAACAAGAGTTCGCGTTCAGGTGCACACGCTCGAAAGAGCAGCAACACCAGTCGAGGACATGCAGGACGTCAGTATATCCGGAAAGGCGGGCCTAGGGGAAAAGGCCGACGGAAAATTGGAAATTCCGGTTTCGAAGAAAAAAAATTACAGGAATCAAGATACTCTACACGACCCCCGCCACAAACACACACGTTGCTTTCCCTGCATACACGAAGAAGCAACGGGAGACTGGGCAGGTTGCTACTTCGGTACCGTGTCCAGCTCTTGGTGCATACAGCTATGTACTGAATACTTCAAGAACTGTATTACCAACAACATCACCCGCCCCCACACCAACAATGATGGCACCATACCACCAGTCGAGATACCAAAAAAAAAGACAGCCTTAGTTCGACGCTCTCCGCACGCTGTCGCCTATATTTACACCGCGAACGCTCGCTTGCTATCGTCATCATCACCACCACCACTACCATCTCTATAAATACCGCCTACCGGTACCGCATGGGGGACCCCAGCAAAATAATGTCGAAAGCATCTCGGGGAGGGGTTGGGCGTATGCGCCGTGAACACTCCTTCCCGTAGAACACCCAGGGACAGAAAAGGGTACTCGTAGTCGTGCATGCCGTAGTCGTTAGACCATTGACCTCGCATCCCTACAAAGCCGGGACGGAGCACGCCGGGTTCTCACCGGACCAGGCTCTCACATCACCAAGCGCGAAGCGCCGTGAGATATTCGGCGAGTCGCATGAAGGGTGCGCTGCATCCTGCTAAGGGTGTTCGGCATCTTGTGCTTACTTCCTTGCGTACGGATGACAGCTGCGTATGAATTAATTTATTTTCTGGTGCTTTCACTTCCAGAGACAGTTGTAAGCACTGTGTAACTGCCTCGAGGGTGCTTGACCATTTCAAGACAACGTGGTGCGATTATCCCCCTTGCGCGGAGTGAGGGTTCTCGACCCCGCACAACATGATCTACTCGACCACCATTAGTCTATGGTTAACGCAAAAAAAAAATAGGTGAAAAACAAAAAACGGTAACCTGGTTGCCAAGTTCACAAAGTGAATTGGCTTGTATTACAGCGTCGTTGCCACGCTTAAAACGAAAACCCAATCCCGATGGCAAACACCGAGGGGGTGACTTGTTTTACACCGTCGTTGCCAAGCGACGAAATCCCAACCCCGATGGCAAACACCGGAGGGGGGGGCGGCTTGTTTTTCAACGTCGTTGCCAAGCGTAGGGAATAATAAAAGATAAAAGGTGGGGCTATCATCAAAATATTACAGGAACAGCCCTCCCCTCGCTGGCGCTATGTTTCTCCGAAAGGGGTATGCCAGCCTGTTTGTTTGACCTCCACCGAAGGTACAAGCCAAAAGGCAAAACGTTCTATCTTCCTATTTGACCCTACCGAAGGGTCAAGCCAGAGCTTTCCCGAAACATCCATCCCCCTCCGCCCTACTTGAAGCCACGGGAAAAGGACAACGACGCCGCAGGAAGGGAGACCCTCCCTCCCTCCCTTCCTCACATCTTGTCGGAATGAACACGATGATACCGAAACGACGACGATCAACAACCATAGACTACAAGACATCCTCAACAAGCCCCGCCCCCGCCCGAACGTCACAATCTCCCCTCAGACGACCGTTTCAACCGCCAAAACAGTCGGCTGTAATAATAACACTACTACAAAAACGGCCCCCGTGCTGTCACCGGGGCAAGAGAGTACCCACGTGCCTGCCTGCAACTTCATCTTCCTGCGCACAGACAACCGCCCGCGCCTGCCTCAAGAAAATCCCACCAGTCCCCAACTACATACCGCTGCCCCCGCGCGTGGCACACGCAAGGATGATGACCAGCTTCTGGTTCATCGTAGCCTGGGCCAATGAAACCCCGGCATTTTGCTCAGTCCTGACGTTGGAGGGATGCGAGGTCAACGGTCTAAAGGCTACGGGATGCGATTACATTAGTACACCTCCCCCCGCCCGGACCCCTGTTGCTGCTGTTGTTCCGTTCCAAACTCCTTCCAACACTGTCGCAAGACGACATTGCCAAACGCCTCTTGTGCTGCGGTACAATGACCAAAGTCTGGCGCTATATGCAAGGCCTCTAAATTCGAAGGATAAATCGAAAAAACCTACACAGTTCTTCACAATCACCACCACTGCGCAAATATTCCCGGAGTAATATTTGTATCCCATATCGGTGTGTATCATGCCGTTACCAAGAACGGCACCGTCGTGTGGCAAACTAGCAACGATATCATTCATTGTTCCGCGTTCCGTTCAACTAATCCGCTTTTCCCGCCGTGTTAATCCCGGCATACCCAACGAACGTGAAATGATTCATGAGTGCGGCGCCACGGGTTCATTCACCCCTCATTACCCCCCCCCCCGTCCCGCGTTCTGTAAGCTGTTGAACGATAGGATAGTGGGAGTATTGGAGAAGGAACATAGCATTAGTGAGGGCCAGGCAGGTTTCCGCAAGAAGAGGGGGTGCGTAGACCACGTGTTCACGGTAGGGAGAATCATCCAAGGTAGAAAGAGGGCGGGAAAGCCGACGTACTGCTTCTTCCTGGACGTGAAAAAGGCATACGACACCGT